AGCCTCCGTGTTTGTTGGGCACTCTGGGCAGGAGGGGAGCAGGCCTCTGTGGGCGTCAGTTTGCTCTGCAGGTGGTGATCAATCTAGGCCACCCCTGCAGGCGGGACGCAGCCAGGCGCTGAGGCAGAGACTGTGGATGGGGAGAAACAACTTCTCATTCCTTTCTGTGCCCCCAGCACACAGGCAGGCTTGGAAGACTGAGCACTCAGCCGGAACTGCCCGAGGGCCGAATCGCTGATGGTAAAATGACTCAGAACAAGGAAGGCCAGGGGGTCAGGGACCCCGTCTTTCCTGTTTCTCACAGTGTCCCTGGCGCCCATGCAGGCTTCCTGGGGGAGGTGGGATAAGAAAGAACCCACCAGCTGGAGAGCCTGGGCACTGTGTGGAGGGAGCTGTGGAAGCAAAGGTTGAGGGGTGCGTCTCTGGGTGTCTGTGCAGGGCCTGGGGGGAGGGGCAGTGGGATGGGGGTGAGGGGGGCAGGGGAGGAACCTGGATCTGGACTGTGAGACCCTCAAATGTTCTGTGGAGGGCTGTGGGGCCCTATCCTTGGATGTGGGGCTGCCGGGGGTTCCTAAGCGGGAGGATGGTCCCTGTCGTTAGCACAGTGACCCCAGCTGTGTCTGACAAGACCTGGCATGGCCTGGGGGATCTGGAGGTGAGCTGCACGTCTGCCTCTGGCTTCCTTGTGACAGTGTGGGGCTTGGTGACGGGCACACGGCCTAGCCACTGGGACACTACCCACCGCTCCTGTCCTGGGCTGGGGACTTGAGACCTGGGCCCTTGGGGTCTCCTGAGTGATAAGAGTGTCATTCATTGGCTCATGAGATGGCTGGGGCCACTAGATAGCCGCAAAGTGGGAGCTGGTTACCAGAAAGACCAGGGTGCGATGAGAGCCTCAGCGCTTTCAGCTTGGGGAGGGGAGAGGAACTGTCTCTGGAGCTGATCGCCAATGGCCAATGACAATGAATTTTGCCTAATGAAGGTTCCATAAAAACCCTAAACCATAGGGCTGGGCAGGCTGGGTTGCTGAGTGCAAGTCAGTGCTATGGGTGGGAGCTGTGCCCGGGGCCCTGGGGGCTCCCTACCTGAAGGCAGTGCTGTGGGTCGGTGGGAGCCCAGGCGCCTGGGGGCTCTGGTGTCTCAGGTGGGGCGGCTCTGCGGGACTGAGTCCCTGAGCTGTGGGTCCATGCCCACACGGGATAGGTAGGGTCCGAACTGGCTTGGACTGCAGGACAACTGGCTGGTGTCCAGAGAGCTGGAGGATTGGTTGGTGTCAAGAAAAACCCCACATTTGGTGTCACAAGTGGTGTGAGTAATAACAGTTTGGACAGATGAAGCCTTGCTGGGGGGACGCGCGAGCATCGGAGGAGAAGAAGCGGGAGCGTGAGATGCTGCGGTTATGGCAGAAGGCGGCATGACGGGTCCTCACTTTTAACACTGAACCTAGACTGTGCGCACGATCCAGCCATCCACGTCTGGGCTTCTGCCCGGAAGAATTTAAAGTGGAGGCTCGAAGAAATATTTGTGCCCCAAAGTTCACAGCAGCATTTTCACCACAGCCGGCAGGCAGAAGCCGCCCAGACGCCCATTCACAGATGAATGGAAAAGCAGAGTGTGTAGAATATTACTAACCCTTAAAAAGGGAGGAAACGCGGGCGCCTGCTACAGCAGCTCGAGGGTGTTTTGCTCAGTGAAATAAACCCACCACGAGGGGCAAATGCCGTCTGGTCCACCTGGACGAGGCTGCCAAAGCAGCCAAGTTCACAGACGCAGAGAGCAGGACGCTGCGTGACCGTTGATGGGGGCAGGGTCTCAGCTTGGGAAGACGGAAGGTCTGGGGCGCAGCTCAGCGGCTCACACCTGTAATTACAGCACTTTGTGAGGTCGAGGAGGGCGCATTGCTTGAGGTCAGGAGTTTGAGACCCTCCTGGCCACCATGGTGAAACCCCATCTCCACTGCAAATACAAAAAAATAGCAGGTCGTGGTGGCGTGCGCCTGTTGGCCCAGCTACGGGGGAGGTCAAGGCACGAGAATTGCTCGAAGATGGGAGGCGGAGGCAGCAGTGGGCCGAGATCACGCCACTGCACTGCAGCCTGGGCAATAGCGGGAGACGCTCTGTCTCAAAAAAAAAGAAAAAGAAATTCTGGGCATGGATGGTGGCGACGGTCACACAGCCGTGTGAATGTGCCTAGCGCTGCACAGATGTCCCTAAACATGGTTAAAATGCTCAGCTTGACATTATGTGTATTTTTCCACAATTCAAAAAGAATTTATTTTTATTATTATTTTTAAGTAATTAATTTATTTTTGAGACAGGGTCTCGCCCTATTTCCCAGGCTGGAGTGCAATGGCGCGATCTCGGCTCACTGCAACCTCCACTTCCTGGGTTCGAGCGATTCTTTTGCCTCAGCCTCCCAAGTAGCTGGGATTACAGGCGCCCACCACCATGCCCGGCTAATTTTTGTATTTCCAGTAGAGACAAGGTTTCACCATGTTGACCAACCTGGTGTCAAACTCCTGACCTCAGGCAATCCGCCCACCTCAGGCTCCCAAAGTGCTGGGATTACAGGTGTGACCCACTGCGCCCAGCCAGAAAAAAAGAAATTTTTAAAAAGGCCGAATAATCAATGAGCCAATCACAGATTTCCAGAAGTTAGATGAAGAATAAACCCAGAGAAATGGAAAGCAAAGGCAGAATGAATGCGTAGGGTAATGAAACACAAGATAGAGTCCTGTGAAGAGGACCAGTACGCGGCTAGTATCAGAAGCGAGAAGGGGGATGCTATGTCACGGCAGCCACGGCACGGCAGCCACGACACGGCAGCCACGGCACGGCAGCCACGTCCTCCTCACTGTGCCCAGGACTTGGGTTCTGTACTCAAGCCTGTCTGGAGTCCTGGGAAACCCCTGCCTCAAGCGCCCCAGCAGACAGGGACAGCTGGTTACCTTATGGTAGATCCTGCAGACATCTGACAGATAGGAAGAAGATATTGTGAGCAACTTTTGCCAATAAATTCGAAAATTTAGATATAATGGACAAATTCCTGGAAAAATAGCATTAAGCAGAACTAAGCCAAGAGAACCGGAGTCGGAGGAAGCCCCAGCTCTGAGGGGACGGCCTTCCTGCGCTGGGCTCCTCGTCCCAGACTTTGCGCCCTCCCTTCTCCATCGGCTGCGGGCTGGGTGCTGGAGATTCTGAGGACTCTCACACCCCCACCCTTGAGGCAGTCACACACATTCCCCTCACTTCATGTGTGATTTCAGGGGTCCTTGCACTCCCCAGGTCTGACTTGCTCACCCCAGGGCAGGGATTGATAGTCTCCAAGCCTGCTCCTTTGCATCCAATTCCATCTCTGGGGTGGGCACATTCTGGGGCGGGGGCATTCTGGGGTGCTATGCAGAGGTTGTTGGAGGGCTTCCAGAGGAGGGGAGAGGAGCTGTGGCTGGAGGGAGAGGGATGTCAGAGAGGGTCCTCGGGGCCTGGGCTCATGCTAACCCTCCATCCACAGCTACCACCCCTGGTCACAGGGGAGGCTCCTGAAGGCTCCAGCCATAGCCTTCCCCAGGCCCTGCCATCCCCCAGGCTGTAGCTGGAGGGCAGAGGGTCCCCATGGTTCTGCCGCCGTCTGGACAGCTGATCTGGGCATCCGGCGCCAGCCTGCTGCCTGCTCACTCTGGGGAGATGGCATCAAGATCTCAATCACCACAGCGAAAATAACAGGTGTCATGTCAGCCAGGTGGGCAGAGCTGACCTCACTGGGGCCCTTGCGGCTTCTGGATGAGATTCCCGGGAACAGTGGGAATTTGGGGGCAGGCAAAGCATCCCTCAGCCGAATTAGCAAAGCACTAATATCCTGCCCCTGCCTGATGTCAGCGCCAGCCGCGTTTCCTCCTCAAATCAGCCGTTAGCTGCAGCAGCTCGCGACAGCCCCTCAGCCTCGGCTCTCCTGACACCCGCGGGGACGGGAATCCTCACAGGGCCGCAGGGTCCAGTAACCTGCCGTGTGTCGGCCTCCTCTCTCCAGCCTCCATTCGCCAGCCCTGATCTCAGAATTGGAGGAACCGACACCCAGGTGGGGCTGGCCGAGCTCCAGGTGGGGGAGGTGGGGTCACCCCACGGCACCTCTGTCTGTGGCATCGCCTGATTCAGACATCCTGCCCTCGTGTCCTCCGGCCGCCTGGGTGTGCACACCTGCCTCTACCCTGATACTCGGTCACCCGCAGCACCGTGACCGTCACCCTCTGTCTTTTCAGCTGACCTGCATTGTTTGGGTAGGGCCATGTCAGCCTGCCTGGCAGTTTTGAGATGCTGAGAGCTGGGTTAACAAGCCACACCGATCAAGCCAGTTCGTCAGGGGTTCCCTGGGATTAGCTGGAGTTGGGCTGCCTGGCTGCGGTGGCCAGGAGCAGGTGACGTCGGTGCAGGGAGGACAGATGTGTGAGGTCTGTGGGGTGGGGCCACAGGCTGGGCTCTAGGTGGGCTCTGGGAAGGAGGGAGGCGAGGGGACAGGGACACGGCAATTCCCAGCCACTGTTGTCACGCACCGGCTGCTATGAAGAGAGAACCAGAACATAGTCGCCGGGCCTAAGCCACAGCCTCCCGCAAATGCGCACGACAGGAGCCCCGCCCACGGAGGCCCCGCTGGCCCCCACACTTTGCCATGGGAGGGCAGTGAACCAGCTCCCAGAGTGTCAGTTCTGGGGGCTGTTTGCCCCTCCCTACCCCAGTGTGCAGCCTACAAACCTGTGGCTGCTGGGGACACTGACCTCCTGAACACCCACAGCCAGCAGTGGCCCGAGCTCTCTCTCCCTGGGCTCTGGAGGCTGCCCGCGTGTGTGTGCGGGTGTGCCTGCTTTGCACTGATGGCCTGCACGCTCAAGATGAACACGTGAGCCGGCAGAAAGTGCCCAGGGAGCCAGCAAGCTGCCACCTGGCCACCCCCTCTCTGTGCGGTGGCAGGCTCTCAGGAGGGTGCAGGGAAGTGGCCGCCCCACTGACCTGGATCACGGCGTCCAGCCCCAGTGGCGGCTGTTGGGAGGCGTCCCCACTGCCATGCTCACTGGAAGCCGAGCTCATTGCAGCCCAGAGCACCGGACCCCAGAGGAGGCCCGGCTCTGCTCTCCGGCCAGTCTCCTCCGACTGGCCAGGACCTCCTAGTTGCCCAGGCCCCACACCTGTGTGGCCCCTGGCTCTGCAGTCCCGTGTCCCGAGCCTGGGCACCCAACTGCCCTCGCCCTGTGGGTGAGACAGTGTGGCCCGCTGAGCCATAGGCGTTGCTGTGGCAGCCGGGACGCCGAGAGCTGGGTTTCCCTGGAAACAGGAGTGCAGGACCCTGTTGCTACGGGGACAAAGGAACGCTGTTGGCTGCAAGCGGTTTTCCCTGGAGACCTGGGGACGCCCGAGTGAAACTGTCTACCTGAGCAACGGCACCTGGGTGGGGCTGGCCTCTCCTCAGACACCCCTCCCTTGTGCACTCCAGGGGGAGCTGTGTGCTTCCTGGACTCACAGCAGGCAGGGGCAGCAGGTGGTCACTGTCTCCCTTGATCTGTACTCAGTAACTGTGACTTTTTAAAAACATTCATCAAAGAATGGACGGATCCTCACAGGTGGTGGACTGAGGCCTGGGGAGGGACGCTGCCTGCCTGAGGGGCAAAGGAACGTCATCTTCCTGGCCTTTCGCCTGGAGCCCTCCTGGAGTCCGACTTCCCTCCAGAGCCTTTCAGAGGCACCTGCACAGACACGCTGGCCACCCTGCACCCACACAGCCGTGCACCCACACAGCCGTGCACCCACACAGCCGTGCACCCACACAGCCGGGCACCCACAAAGCCGGGCACCCACACAGCTGTGCACCCACAAAGCCGGGCACCCACACAGCCGGGCACCCACAAAGCCGGGCACCCATACAGCCAGGCACCCACACAGCCGGGCACCCACACAGCCGGGCACCCACACACAGCCGGGCACCCACACAGCCGTGTACCCACAAAGCTGGGCACCCACACAGCCAGGCACCCACACAGCCGTGCACCCACAAAGCTGGGCACTCACACAGCCGTGCACCCACAAAGCCGGGCACCCACACAGTCAGGCACCCACACAGCCGGGCACAGGCATCTTTTCCTGTCTAGCACCTGCAGGGGATGTGCCTTGGACAGAACCCAAAGAGACTGTGACTCAGGGCGGCCCCAAGGAGCCACTCCTCCCAAGCAGTCACTGGCTGTCCTTATGGACAGTCTGCTCTGCCAGGTGTGGACTCGGCTCTGAGGAGGAGGCATGGGTCCCGGGGGGCACAGAGTCACCGAATGAGCCAAAACAGTGATGGAAGGTGGGAGAGATCCCAGGGTGATTATGGCAGACGGGCAGCCCTGGAGGCTGGGAGGCTGGGGCAGAGGGCGCCTCATCTGTCTACCCCACCCTCTCCCGCAGAGTTGCCCTGCACATGAACTGTCTTCAGAGGGCACAGAAGTGCCACCCTGTCTGGCACACAGCAGCCTCATAGCACCATCCCACTCACATCTGTCGGGCAGGGGCAGGAGGCCAGCTGAGGGCAGGGGTGGAGGCTGGCGAGGCAGGTGGCCGATGCGGGAGGAGGATGCATGTGGAGTGATTTTCAAGGTCTCTCCCACTCGCCTGAGAGGAGAGGCCAGCTCGACACATGTACTGGGTTTTAGGGGGGATCCAGATGATTGTTGGGGGCAGGTAGGTCCTGAGAGGTTCTGTGGGGTGGGAGAAGGGAACTTGCTCCCCTGCCACCCCGTGTTTATCCATAGGAGGGGTTGCCGGTGGATGCTGCCATGGGCAGGCCCTGGGGGACCTGGGTCCTGGGAGGGGCTGCAAGGCGGGCTTGGGATCCTGCCCTCTGGTGCTTTCTGCACAGCAAAGAAAGAAGCCGGGGAAAGGCCCCTGCCTGGGGACTGGAGGGGGCTCGGGGTACCGTCCTGCCCAGGGATCCAAAGGTAAGAGCCCCAGCCATAAAGCGCTTAGAAGAAAATGCAGGGAAAAGCCTCGTGGCACAGGATTTGGCGGTGATGTCTTGGATATGGCATCAAATCCACAGACAATGAAAGAAACAAATAGAGAAATTGAACTAATTCAGACCTTAAAACTTGTGTCTCAAAGGACGCTATGAAGAAAGTGAAAACCTGTGGAATGGGGGAAATGTCTTAGCTGATAGGGGATTAGCATTCGGAATGTGTAAAGAATCCTGGCCACGTGCAGTGGCTCACACCTGTAACCCCAGCATTGGGAGGCTGAGGCAGGCGGGTCACCTGAGGTCAGGAGTTTGAGACCAGCCCGGCCAACATGGCAAAACCCTGTGTCTACTAAAAAAATTCAAAAAAATTAGGCGTGGTGGCATGTGCCTGTAATTCCAGCTACGAAGGAGGCTGGGGCAGGAGAACTGCTTGAACCCAGGAAGCGGAGGTCACAGTGAGCCGAGATGGTGGCACTGCACTCCAGCCTGAATGAAACTGAGACTCTATCCAACAAGAAAAGAGAAAAAATTCCTATAACCCAACGACAAGAAAACAGACAGCACACTTACAAATGAACAAAAGGCGGGGCCCGGTGGCTCACGCCTGTAATCCCAGCACTTTGGGAGGCTGAGGCGGGCAGATTGCAAGGTCAAGAGATCAAGATGGCCGAGCTTGCTCAGAACACACATTGGTGCCAAGCACGCCTTCTCAAACCCTGCTCTTCTGCATCCACACCTGAGCCTGAGCGGGCCTGGCAGGTTCGCTGGGCACCTTGGCTGAGTCGGACCACCCTGTCCTGGAGAGAAAGGCCCGCTGCCCGCCACAGAAGGAGGGTGTCCTTCCCGGAGCACTGCAGGTGCTGGTGTGGGTGTGGACCTCGACTGTAGCTCCCATCTTGGTTCTTTGGTGTTCCTGAGGCTGCACAGACTGTGCCCATGTTCCTGAACAGGTGTCTGGGATGGGAGGTGGGGGGGTGTGAGCGCAGGGTCAGTCCAGCAGTGTCCTGGCAGGGCTCCTGGCGTGTGGTGGTGTGGGGGCTGCTTACCGTGGCTGGCTGAGGAATGGCCACTTCCTATTCTGCAGAACCTGTGAACAGGACCGTATAAAGCACAGGGAGAGTGTCGCCTGATGCAGACCAGACTGCGTTTTGGGTGAACTGAGGCCTGTGGGATGAGGAGATTGTCCGAGATGCTCTCCCCAGTGCCCCTTGTAAGAGAAGCAGCAAGAACTAGCACAGCTGCCCCAGGAGAGGACCACGTGAGGATGGAGGCCACGGACATGCAGAGATGTGGCCAAGGAATGCGGCTGCCCCCAGAGCTGGGAGGGGTGGGAGCAGCACATCCCGGGAGCCTCCGCAGTTCAGCCACGCAGCACCGTGCTCTCAGGCATCCGGCCTCCGGAGCGGTGAGCATTCACTTCTGTCATTTTATATCCACCGTGGTCCCTCGAAGCCCCAGAAACATGCCCGCACCGTGGGCTACAGCTGCGCCGAGCCCCCATGGCTCAGGGTGTGCCCCTGGTGCCTCCCCAAGGTTCAGCCCGGGGACTCTGTTCAGGCAGGAACGTCTCCTTCCCACCCCGCCTTCCCCAGCACATGTGGGACTTCCTGAAATACAGGATCCGAGCGCTGGCCTGTGCTCCGCTCCACGGAGAGACTGAATCAACACCCATCTGAGAGTTTGCGGTTGCCCCGGTGCCAAGGAGCCCCTTGGTGAGCTGCCGAGGCCCCGTGGCAAGTCTGGCCTCTCTGACCCTCCCCACCCTGACCACACTGCCCTCCTGGGGTCAGAGCTGGGGTCTGGGTGCACTGTGGCTGGTGCTGCCTGTGGACCTCTGGAGTGCTTGGCCCCTTTGTGGTCAAGGCTGCCCCAGCTGTCCAGGGAAGGCGCCAGCATCCCCTCCATCAGCAGTCGCTCTCCTCTGTCTGCCAAGGGTGGGTCCAGCTTCCCAGGGATTTCCTGCTGCGATCACATGCTCCTATGAGCCAGGCATCGTCTGGCTCTGGGTACACCGAGGAGTGTGACACCGCTCCAGCCACAGTGAGTTCACCATGCCATTCACCACCCCCCAGAGGGGCCAAGGGGCAAGTATGGGGCCTGGCCCTGGAGGCTCTGACCTCAGCCGGGCACAGATGCAGAGAGCAGGGTCCCTTGTGGCAACCAGCTGGGTTCAGCTCAGGAACTGGCTGGAGCCAGTGAAGGACAGGACAGGGCAGCGGCTGGAACTGAGAAGGGGGACAGCTAGGCGGAATCCCCTGGCCTCGGGCCCTTGGTATTGACAGCAGTGGGAGAGGAGTTTTAGAGCCAAGGAGGATGCACAGCCTGGGGCTGCCCCAAGGGAGAGGGGCCTGCTCTGTGGCAACTGGAGGGAGCAGCTCGGCGGCTGAGGAGCCCAGTGCTTCTCATGGCTCAGCCTGGGCACTTCGGGTAGATTGGGGGGGTCTCCTGGGCGAGTTCAGATCACTGGGAGGTTTCTGGGAGGTGGAGCTGGGGCACTGAAGGGGTCATCAAATCTCAGATGTTGAAGACAAGACTCAGACAGGCAGACGAGCTCCCTGGGCTGCTGTGGCCGAGGGTGAGGGACAGGACAGGGCTCTCCAGGATGCAGGGTGCAGTTGCCCTGCAGCAGTGCCCACCTCCCCGCAGGCCAGAGTCCCATGGAGATGGAGGACGGTGGCACACGGCTGTGCGTGGGACCTAGGCAGGCCGTGGGTGAAGGCCCAGGACAAATGGGTCCTTGAACCTGAACAGCTGCCCTGGTGAGGGGCACACATGCAGCTCCAGAGGACGGAAGTGGGCCAGGCTGGGGAAGGAAAATCTGTCTCACCTGACCGTGGGCTGCCCTGTGAGGTGGTGAGTTCCCTGTCCTGGGAGGCATGGACGCAGAGACCCACTCACTGGGCTGCAGCCCCTCACAGAAACTTCCAAGCACCAGGAAGTGAGTGGCTCCTGCCCCCTGCCCCACCCCTCCTGGGGTCCTGGTTCTGGCCACAGCTCTGACTCAGGTGCAGCAGCTCCCCAGGGGGTGAGAGGCTGGCATGTGGCGGCATCTCCCCGACGCCGGTGTGGGGCTGTCTGTACGTTCACTGTTTGCAGACACCCCTGCGGCCGAGCACCGATGCACACGGCCAGCTGGCAGGGCCAAGGGGCGGTGGGGCGGCTCCCTGCTGGTTGGGACTTGCAGGGCTCTGTGCAGGGAGGCAGGCGGGGCCAGCAGGGTGCCTGGCGCAGGTGCTGGAGGGGGATGGTGGGACGAGGTGGAGCCTCGGAGACTGCTTCCCTCTGCAAGTAGATGAGCTCCAGCTCCCAGGCAGGCGGGTGCCAGCTCCTCTCAGGTTGGAGGCAGGGTGGGGCGGGGCGGGGCGGGGACAGGCAGCCCAGGGGTCCCAGGCCCAGATGGCTGGACATGCAGCTGGCTCAGAGGCAGGAGTCACGGCCGAGCGGTGGCCTATGCAGGTGTCAGGTGTCTTCTTTTAAGCGGGGCACAGGTATCTCAGGGGAACACTGCAGAGACTTGGCCTCCAGGTTCCCCACCTTCCAGGCAGCCTTAGAGAGGCCGGGGCTCCCCACAGCCACTGCCCTGCCCCCCTTTCTCACTGAGCCACGGGGTGCCTTGTGTTCCCTCCCATCTGGCAGAGAGGCTGGGGCAGGGGGGCTTGACCCAGAGACCTGCCCCTGGGCTGGGGATAGTGTGTGCTGAGGCCTGTCAGGAACCCACACAGGCTCCCCTCCCAGGGACACGAAGGCCACCGCAGCATTCCTCCAGGGACCCCAAGCCTGGCTGGGACAGGACCCTGCCTTAGGCTGAAGATGAGAGAGCTCTTCTGACGGGAGGGAGGAGGGCCTTAACCAAGCCCGGCCGCCTGCCCCGGCCCCTGTGACATTCTCAATTGCTGGGGACTGACTCACCCCCACTTCAAAGGCCTTAAATAGTTCAGGTATTTCACCTGCTGGCAGTGCCATCACTCTGGAATTCTGCTCTTCGGGAGCCGCCTCCTCTCAGCCCACCTGCGCTGCCGGCCTGCAGAGTCCTTCTCAGGGACCATCAGCCCTGGCCTGCCGCTGCGGACGGGATGCCTGCCCCCGCTGCCCCCACCGCAGCCACAGCCATGCAGGTGCCCCTGTGGCACCACTACCTGCAGGCCATCCGGTCCCGGGGGGCGCCGCGGGCCCAGGACTTCCAGCGCGCAGAGAACGTGCTGCTCACAGTGCTGGAGCGCGTGCACGCCCTGGACCCCCGCTTCGTCGTGGACTACTCCCGAGGCCTGGAGGCCTTCCAGTTCGCCCTGCGCTCCTCTGAGGACCCGCTGGACATGGAGGTGCCCCTGTGGGTGGACGCCGAGGCTCTGCTGATTGAGGAGCCAGAGGCCGCCCAGCCGGAGGGTGGCCCCGAGTTATGCCGCCTGGGTGTGCCCCGGGAAGGGGCTGGCCTGGAGCGGTGGACCACCGACGATATCTTCACTGCCTCCTCAGAGGGGGACGCCAAGTGCCGTGGACACATCGTGCCCAGCAAGGTCCTGTGTGTCCTCAGGGACCTGCTAGTGGCAGCCATCGTCCACTGCAAGCACCACAGCCTCATCGCGCCAGGTAGCAGGCGAGGCCCGGTCCGCACGTGTCTGTGTTGAGCAGCTGCTGTGTGGTGCTCACGGAGCGGCACCTGCCTGCTGTGGGTGTCTGTGTGCAAGCCTGTGAGTGCACATGTGTGTGACTGCTGCGTACCCGCGCACAGGGTGGCGACCGTCCTCTGTGGTGACCGCATGCGCAGGCGTGTGTGCACGTGTGTGATCACCGCGCGCTGGGGCACGGAAGCCGGGAGACCTCACGTATGTCCTCCAGCTCCAAACGCCTCAGAGAGGACGGAGGCTGTGTCCCGTGCCGTGTGTGTCTGCCCTGGGGTTTCCACGGAGCCACTCCTTCAATGGCTGGAGTCTGGGGCAGCCGCTTCGCTGGCAGACTTGCAGGAGGGTCCCTCACAGGGCTCTGGGCAGGTGACTCTGTTGCCGGTCACGGCCTGTGACCTCGAGGCTGTCCCATCCCCACTTCCAGCACTGGTCATGTTGTACCAGGTGGGAGAGGTGTGTGTGTGTCTGCCCGCGTGCACGTGAGGGCAGGGGTGTGAATATGTGTGTGTGTGTGTGTGTGTGTGTGTGTGTGTGTGTGTCTTATCAGCTTATGGCTGAGCTGCCTGTTCTTGGGCCCAAAGTGGGCTCTGAAGCTTCCACATGGGCATGGGCTGGCCTCAGTCCCTCCTCTGGGGGCCTTGCTGATACAATCCAGGGCGAGTCTGAGCCCACGGCTCCTTCCGCAGAGCTGCCTGGACGGCCAGGGTGGCTGGGAGGACAGGGCTTGGCCTGTGCAGGGGCCAGGCTGAGTGGTGCAGCCATCCTCCGGGGGTGTCACATTGTCCTGGAGGGGAACTGGGAACTGGAACAGAATGTCCTGCTTCCCTTGGGAGGGGTCGGGCTTGTCACATGAGTCACCCCAATCCTCACAGGGCTTTGCTGCCTTGAATCACCTGCCTGGTATTTGTCTGACCCTCGTGTCCACCGTGAGGTCAGTGGGTGCGGTGGTCAGCTTGCCTTCCCGAGAGGCCGTGATGTGCAGAGGGCTGCCCTGCGCTGGGGCCGGCCTGGAGGCAGGGCACCTTCTGTTCACTGTGGCCTGATGTCCACCTGTGAGATGGGCCTACCTGTTGGGGTGAGCAGGAGGCCATGCCAGGCTCGGGGTCACTAAGCTGCTCACACCTCAGAGTGTGCCCTGAGGAAGCAGACCGTGTCCTGCAGGCCGTGCCCACGGCCCGAAGCTGCTGGGCTGGGCGGCGGCAGCATTCCTGACACTTACCTTAAAAGGGAAGCGGTAGCCCAGGTGACCCTGGGAACCGGTGAGGCCAGCCCTGGGCTGGTGCAGGTGTGGCTGCCTTCCAGGCTGCCTGGTCACAGGCAGGAGTGAGTGTGGCCCCCAGAGGCAACTCTGACTGGCTGCATGGAGGGGCTCCTCCTTCTCTCTCACCGATGGGAACTGAGGCCCCCGGGGGATGGGCTGCCTGGGCGGCAAGGCCAGGGTTGCCCTGGGGTGGGTCCCAGAGGGGTTCCCAGAGCTGTCCGACAGGAGACTGTGGGTGCTGAGGGTCCACACAGCGGGGCCAGGCTCTCTCCGGAAGGGCGGCCCCATGCTCACTCGCAAGGGGGACCTTTCCCAAGGCACAGGCCAGGATTCCCAGGGACATGCCAGCATGCTGCCTGGGTCCAGCTCCCTTTGACCCGGGACCCCTGGCTGGGCAGCCTGGGGAGGGGAGGGGCAGCTTCTCCCCCGGCCCCTGGGCCCGTGTTGGGCGGGGCCGTGCAGGTGTCTGTGCTCACCCTCCTCACCCTCCTCACCCTCCTCACCCTCCTCACCCTCCTCACCCTCCTCACTCTCCGGTATTTGTTTCGGGGGCGGGTAGGGCTTCTGTGGCAGAGGCTAGAGGGCCCGGGACTCGCCAGAATCCCCCAGCCCCAGCCCCATCACGCCCTGGAATGGCCTCTCCGGGGGGGAAGAGGGCACCGAGCTGGGCCCCGGGGTGGGGTCTGAGTCAGGAGTGGAGTGGGAGGCTCTTGACCAGAGTGTGCTGCCTGTGGGGTGACAGGGCCATGGGGCTCTCGGGCAAGAGCTCTTTGGGAAGTGCGGGACCCAGGCCTGGTCAGGAAGAGCTGACCAGGAAGAGCTGGGCTTGGGCTCTGTGAGCCTGCTGGCCTGGGCAGCCCAGAAACGGGATGGCCAGGTCGCTACTGCTGGCCGCCACGGCCTCTTCTCTCCACGGGAACTGAGCCTGGCCTGGGCCTATCCCTCCCTCCCCAGCTGCCCCCGTCATGTAGACTGGTCCCCTAGACCCAGGTGTGACCTGGCTCCTGTGCATGCAGTGTTTTGAGTGGTGGGGGGCTCTCAGGGAAGTTTCCAGGGGCGGGGGCACAGGGGAGAAGCTCTGGGGAGGAGAGGCCCAGCCTGGCTTCACCCTCTCCAGCTCTGGGGTGGGAGCCCTGCTGGCCCCAGCCTGGGCTGTTCCTGCCTCCTTCCCCGAAGAGAAGGCAGCAGAGACGCCCAGCCATTGTCAGGAGGTGGGAGGCTAGCTGAGGCCTGGGGCTTTGGTACGAGTGCTGGGGCAGAGCGGGCAGGCTCAGGAAGGCCTGGGTGGGCACAGCAGGCAGGGCCCTGGGGTGTGGGGTGAGGGCAGTGCCTGGGGAAGGAGGACCTCACATGAGATGCTGCTGTCATCACTGGCAGCTGTGCCCAGGACTGTCACTGCCGGGCAGGCTCCTCACTCGGCTGAGGTCCAGGGATGGACACAGGTGTCTGGGGTTGGGGAGCTGCAGCCTGCAGGTGGGGGCCAGTAGAGAAGGCTGCAGGGCAGAGGTGATGAGGGGCAGAGGTCAGGTGGGCAGCAGAGGGGCCTGGGGAGTGTCCTGGGCAGGGGAGGCAGGTCGAGGGGCCGGTGTGATGTGGGTCTTTGCAGGTTCACTGAACGCGGCCAGCCTGAGGGAGGAGCAGCTGCACCTGTCCTTGCTGGTGTCTAGCGGCTGGAGGACAATCAGCTTCCACGTGGTGCCCGTGGTGAGAAGGAGGCTTGGGGTTCCTGTGCTGGAGGGGGCCCAGCAGATGCCTGGATTCCCCGAGGGCAGCCTGAGAAGGGTCCTCAGCCAAGGGGTGGACCTGGTGCCGGCCAGTGCCCAGCTCTGGAGGTAGGCTCGCCCTCCTGGTCACAAGGTTCTTGGGGAGCAGACAGGAAGGGGCCAGCACCCCGACGCTGCCTCGGCCCCAGTCAGGAGGATCTGCAGGGCCCTCTGCCTGCCTCTGTCCCCATGGGCATGTGTGTTCCCCTGAGATTGCTGGGATCTCTGGCTGCAGGGAGGATGGAAATGTGTCCTCTTCTGAGTGGGAAGGCGGCTGGTGGCATCTGATGCTGGGTGATGAGAGACCCGGAACGGTGGGCGCCTGCCCTAGATGGGACCTTTCATTACCCAGCTTTTGCTTGGGGCAGGAAAGTCGCTGAGAGGTCAGGCAGCCCTTCCAGGCAGAGTGGGTTCCCAGAGAAGCTGGGAGGGTCCCCACATAGTCAGGGTACATCCACACTGGTGTCTGTGAGAGGGAGGAAAGGGGCATTGGGCAGAGGCTGAGCTCCCCTCAAGACCCCTAGCCAACGGCCAAGGACCACGCCCCAGCCAGATCCCACATCACTGCAACAGCCCCTGGGGTGGCTCATCCCTGCCCCCCACTTGCTGGAAGGATGGTTGGATCCACACTCTGTCAGGGGACGGCTTTGCAAAGCTGTCGTGCCCCTCCTGTGGTTTTTCCCTGCAAGGAAAGGCTCAGTGGAGCACCAGTGACCTCCCACCCCCGCCCTGCATTCCTGCTGACCCCTGAGCGTGGAGGGGGGTGGCATTGAGGCTTGTGGAATGGCTTCCCGCCTGCCCAGGAAGGGGAAGGGCTGGGCTGGGCAGAGTCATCTTTGCAAGTAAATGGGAGAATGACATTTTTGGTGCCTCACGTCCTGCAGACTTGGGAGGGGGACACGGCGCGTGACTGTCCCGGTGCAGCTCTGTGAAGGTTGCGGTGCCAGGCCCCACCCCCAGCCCGTCTAGCATGTGCAGCAAGCCCCCTGGTGTGAGCTGCTCTGAGCTACGGGTCTGGGTGACGTGGGAGTGGGGAGCAGAGATTCTGAGGCCCTTGTGTGTCTGCCCCTGGAGGCTGCTGCCCTGGGCTTCTGGAAGGGGCCATGGGTGGAGCTGTCACACCCCTGGGCTGGGTGGCTGCGACCTGGGCAGGCCTGAGAGGCACCTTCCTGTCTACACAAAGGGCCAGGATGGCCTGGAGGCTCCTACACCCCCTGAGTTCAGAGCCAGGGAGTCTCCATGAAAACCAGGCATGCACTGCACAGCTGGTGACTGCAGCTCCTGAGAAGCCTGGGGTCTGGGCCGGGGGCCGGGGGCCGGGGGCCGGGGGCCGGGGGCCGGGTCCCACCCACAGGCACAGCGCAGCATTGCCCCAGCCCCTGCTCAGAGCTCCCCACACCGGGGGCCGGCAGCAGCGGGGACTGACCCAGTTCGTCTGTCTGGGCCCCAGGACCTCCACTGACTACCTGCTCACCAGGCTGCTTGGGGAGCTGGGCTCCATGCAGGGCCATCGCCTGGACAGTCTCTCCATCCTCGACCGGGTGAACCACGAGAGCTGGCGAGACGGTGGTCGGACCGACGGCCTGACCTTCGGCCATCTGAAGGTACCGGGCAGGGCTCTGCAGGTTGTCCATCACCGGGGCCCTGGGGTAGGAGCACCTGGGCATGTCCCTCCTGCCAGCCCTGATGGCGGGCAGCTGGAGTCTGAGGACCTTCCCAGGTTCTGGGGAGGTGAAGATGTGGCTCGTGAGGGTCGTGGGGATGTGGCCGCAGGGGCCTTGGTACCGCCGGCCGGCCTTTGCCATTCCTGGGCCTCGACCTCAGAGGCCCTCCTGGCTTGGGACACTGTTGGGAAGAACCTCAGGGAGGGGCCTCCCAGAGCCGGGTGTTCCTGCCCAGCAAGCCTCCTCCCAGCGTCTGGGAATGTCACCCGGCAGGGATGCCTCCCTCTGGGGGTTACCAGGAGAGTCCAGGCACCATCCCCCCCCCCCATTCCCACCGCTTCCTGGGCTGCAGAGATATTCTGGCACAACTGTGTCCTCCTGGGGCTTTGTAACATCAATGCTGAGAAGGACAAGAAACAGGCAGGGGCCAGGACTCCAGCCCACCCCAACCCCGGGAAGCAGGTGGGGCTATGCTGTCTTGGGGTCTCTGTTCAGCTAACTCCCCTCTGGAGTGTGTGGCCGACTGGGCGCTGATCCATGGATGGGGCTGGCCCCTTCACCTGGCTCCGTGTTGAGGGAGAGGTGTCCCTCCTGGTGTCGGGGGTCCCCAGGTGACCACTGGCCCTGGGTGGCCTCTGGCCATGCCCCCTCAGGCTTCCACCTGACCTGGAGCTCTCAGCGTCCCTTGAGGTTGGATGTACGGTGGTTCCCAACCCCAAACTCAAGGGCAGGGTGAGGGGGCAGTGGAAGAGGAGGGTCTGAAAAGGCCCTGTGAGGCAGGGCCTGGGGCAGGAGGGAGGACGAGAGCCTCTGGGGCGGCTGCTGGCAGCAGGTCTTGTGGTTCAGGCCAGGGGTGGTGAGCACACAGACCATCGCCATGACAATGCCAGGGGCCTGTTGGGTTGGGCCGCAGGGGGTGAGTAGGAGCTCAAAGGGGCCAAGGAAGTGAGAGAAAGGCCCAGAGGATGCTGGGAGCTGCAGAGGCCCCCAAGGGAGGTCCTGGGGGATGAAGATAGGGGCTGGGGATGGGACCCCAGGGTCAGGGCCAGGCAGGAGAGGAGAGAGAGGGGTTTCATGCCTTCGGGAGCCAGCAGGCTGGGGCAGCGGGTGGGAGGGGCCTGGGACTCCAACTGCGACGTGGAGGGGAGGCTGCAGGGTAGGGAGAAGTGTGGGTGGGAGCAGGGAGCAGGGAGCAGCAGCCGGGGTGAGGGTGGGGGGGGGCGCAGGGCGGGCCGGCTGGGTGGAGGCTGACCCTGCTGTCCCGCAGATGGTGCTGCTGTGGGCCTCCGAGCTCTTCCCGGCGCCCGAGGACTGGGCGGAGCTGCAGGGCGCCGTGTACCGCGTGCTGGTGGTGCTGCTGTGCTGCCTGGCCACGCGGACGCTGCCCCACTTCCTCCAGCGGCAGCACAACCTGCTGCAGGGCAGCAGCCTGGACCTCGGCGCCGTCTACCAGCGCGTGGAGGGCTTTGCCAGCCAGCCCGAGGCGGCCCTGCGCATCCACGCCACCCACCTGGGCCGAGGCCCCCCGCCACGCATCAGCTCCGGGCTCAAGGCGCTCCTGCAGCTGCCGGCCAGCGATCCTGCCTACTGGGCCACCGCGTACTTCGACGTCCTGCTGGACAAGGTGAATGCTGGCCGTGAGGGGCTTGGGCCTGCCCAGGGGTGCAGGAGGGTGGGGACACAGCCCCGGCCCAGCTCCCCACCCACTGTCTCCTGAATCAGGGGCCCCAGGAATGCTGAGGCCAGATCAGGGCTCCATGGATGGCGTCTGCGGGGACGTGTGATGTGTGGGGATCACATGGGCCCTGGGGGTCCCCTCGCTGGTCGCCTCACAGGGCCCGGAGCTGCTCCCTGGAACCAGGGCAGCGAGTCTGACCCTGCCTCCGTTTCCCACCAGAGTTGCTCCCCAGCTCACACTCAGTAAACAGTGCCTCAGAGGCCCAGCTGCCCACCCCAGAACTGCATTCCTCACGAAGGGCTATGACCTTACCTGGGCCTCACAGGGACCGTTTCCTTCTCCCTGGACTCAGGAATCCACAGCCATACCCCTTGCAACCCTGTGTCCCCTGGGCCACTTCTCATGGGTGCCTGGAGGCCCCAGCAGCTGCCCCACCCTGTGCCCCAGGCTCTGCCACCTCTGCCAAGGAGCCTGCTCAGGGTCCACCCTGCTCCTCACCCAGGGCCCAGCTCTCACCCCCACCCCAGGAGCAAACAGGGCTTCCTTCCAGGGCACACCGGGAGTTTCTCCGCCACCCTTCCCATGTCTTGGCAGCGGTGAGGCCCAGAACAGCTGCTCTTTGCTGGGGCTCTCTCGTCCTGTTCCAGCAAACTCCCACCTGTTGAGATGCTGATGGCTCCGGGGTCTCCTCCCCTGCCTGACACTTAAGAATTGTTACCCCAGAGCCTGTAGATGGGGGGGCAAGGGCTGTGCTCTGAGCTCTCGGCGGACCTGTGTGAACAGGGGCGGGGGCGGGGGCGGGGGCGGGGTGGTCACCAGAGGCAGCCTTCAAGCAGCACCCCGTGGGGCCTCCACTGTGCAGGCCCAGGCCAGGGATGCCTGTGTGTGATGTGGGGCTTGGGGAAGAGTAGAGGCTGGGGGTGCCTGTCCAGGCAGATACCCGGGGCAGGAAGGCTGGGTGGGGCCCAGGGAGGGCCAGTTGTTCCATGCTGTGCTCTCGGCCCTGAGAGCTTATGACGGGCTGCAGGGGTCCCAATAACCCTTCTCCCTGCAACCCGCCTACAGTTCCAGGTCTTCAACATCCAGGATGAGGGCCGGATTTCTGCCATGCAGAGCATCTTCCGGAAGACCAGGACTCTGGGCAGCGAGGAGAGCTGAGCTGGGCCACCTGGCCTTGGCTGCCCATTCACGGCCGCCCCCAGACTCTGCACCGCACCACGGGAGGTCCCGGGGCATTTGGGACAAGGAATGGGCTTCTCATGGAGCGGGTGGTGGAGGGATTTTGTCCCCAGGAGTGGCCTCTGAGAGTCTTTCAGTGCCTAGCGAGGCAGGGCAGGCCTCCTGGAGCACCTCATCCCGGGGTGAGGGCCTGGAGGCAGGTGCTACGCTTTCCACGTGGTGCCTGTTGATCCAGCCACGTGGTGTTGAAGAGAAAGCCGCGTTGGCTGAGACCTGGGTCTGAGTGCCTGGCCCTGCCTGCACCGTATGCCGTTCCTTGGTGATGAAATGCTGTGTATTTGGTCTTGAATAAATGAACGTACCGGGTATACGCAGCAGAAAAGATACTCTCCACTTCTTGTATATCTGTGTGGAAAACATTTCCCCTAGAAGTAGAAGAGGCCCACGTGCAGATGGATAATTTTGAGTGTTCTCCATTCTCTGCGAATGACCCCCCCTTCCCCAGGCATCCCCACCTCCTACCTTGTTCTTAGAGCAAACCCAGGCCGGCAGAGGGTGCACACACATCCATGAGCCCACCGGCCCAGCACTCGTCCCATCTGCATCTTCCCGTCCCTGGGGAAGTGGCCCCTGATGTGGTTCGGATCTGTGTCCGCACCCCAATCTCTTGCCGAATTGTAACCTCCAGTGTTGGAGGAGGGGTGAGTGGGAGGTGACGGATCATGCGTGGACTCTCCCTTGCTGTTCCTGCCACAGTGACTTCTCATGAGCTCTGGTTGTCTGAGAGTGCGCGGCACCTGCTCTTCCGTCTCCCTCCTCCTCCCGGCACGAGAGACGCGCCTCCTTCCCCTTCCCCTTCCACCACTACTGTCGGTTTTCTGAGCCTCCCAGATATGCTTCCTGTACAGCCTGAGGACTATGAGTCAATTAAACCTTGTTATTCATTATCTAGTCTCCGGTGGTGGTTTACAGCCGTACGAGAACCTACTAATGTATCCCGTCTCTGAGGTAAGGAGTCCTCTCCTGGCGTCCGGTGCCACCCATGTCTGTCCTTCCCACTCTGTGCCCCCCGCCCTCACATTCTCCGTCAGCCACACAGCCTGCCTGCAGCCCCGTGACTGCATGGGTCCTGCCCATTGGACATTTCCTGTTCTTCAGCTCTGGCCTCTCAGGGGCATTTCCCCCTCAATGCCGGCCCTAGGTTCTCGAAGGCGACCTGCAATTCATGCAGCAGCAGCTCCCCAGAGCCTCCTTGAAAGAGATCTCTGGCCATCTGCAGAGGAAGCACATACTGATAACAGGAGATGCCCAGGCCCCTTGAAGGCCTCGAGATCCAGGGCCTGAGCCGACGCCCACGGGAGGGGACACGACATGCCACACTCCTCCTCACAAGAGTGGGGGCTGGTGGAAGACAGAATCTTGGTTCACATCTGATTCATCATGGATCTGAAGGGCCAGGCCCACACTGTGGCCATTCCCTTGGCATTTGATGGTGAAGCAGGGTGGCTGCATGTAGCAGGAGTAAGAGCTGTAACAGCAGGAAGGGCCAAGGGGAAGCTGTTTTGAAATCATCCATATCTCATGACCAAGACAACCAGGCAAAAAATACCACCTCCTGGTATACTGACAGAATGTAGTGCCACCTCCAGAGGCTTAATTCACCGAAGGCAGTGCCACCTCCAGAGGCTTAATTCACAGAAGGCAGTGCCACCTCCAGAGGTTTAATTCACAGAAGGCAGTGCCACCTCCAGAGGTTTAATTCACAGAAGGCAGTGCCACCTCCAGAGGTTTAATTCACAGAAGGCAGTGACACCTCCAGAGGTTTAATTCACAGAAGGCAGTGCCACCTCCAGAGGTTTAATTCACAGAAGGCAGTGCCACCTCCAGAGGCTTAATTCACAGAAGGCAGTGCCACCTCCAGAGGTTTAATTCGCCAGAAGGCAGTGCCACCTCCAGAGGTTTAATTCACAGAAGGCAGTGCCACCTCCAGAGGTTTAATTCACAGAAGGCAGTGCCAGCTCCAGAGGTTTTAATTCGCCAGAAGGCAGTGCCACCTCCAGAGGTTTAATTCACAGAAGGCAGTGCCAGCTCCAGAGGTTTTAATTCACCAGAAGGCAGTGCCACCTCCAGAGGCTTTAACTCACCAGAAGGCAGTGCCACCTCCAGAGGTTTAATTCACAGAAGGCAGTGCCAGCTCCAGAGGTTTTAATTCGCCAGAAGGCAGTGCCACCTCCAGAGGTTTAATTCACAGAAGGCAGTGCCACCTCCAGAGGCTTAATTCACAGAAGGCAGTGCCACCTCCAGAGGCTTAATTCACAGAAGACAGTGCCACCTCCAGAGGTTTAATTCACAGAAGGCAGTGCCACCTCCAGAGGCTTAATTCACAGAAGGCAGTGCCACCTCCAGAGGTTTAATTCACAGAAGGCAGTGCCACCTCCAGAGGTTTAATTCACCAGAAGGCAGTGCCACCTTCAGAGGTTTAATTCACCAGAAGGCAGTGCCACCTTCACCAGTATGGCCCAGCAGAAGTCAGGTGGATTACGGTGAATGGCAGTGGATTCCATGAACCTGACCAAGTTGTAACCTGCAGTCCACGTGCTGTGCTAGACATGGTATCCTCAGTACAACAGGACAGCAGGGCCTCTGGAACTCGTGCATGGCCACGGGCCTGGGAAATGCACTGTTTCCCATCCCCATCAGAGGGAGGCTCAGACAGTTCGCGTTCATTTGGAAGACACAACAGTACGAGTCCCCGGTCTGGCCTAGGCCGATGTGAGCCCTGTTTTCTGTGTCACATGTAGGCCTACTGGGCCTTCATGCCCCAGATGCTCTGTGGGGTGTCCTGCTGGTCCACTGTATTGATGCCACTGCGCATATTAGAGCTGGAGAGGATTGACTGGAAAGTTCTTCGGATGCTTTGTAAGACACATTCATTCCAGAGGGTGGGAGGCAAAGCTTACCGTCTCAGGCTCTGGCCCACAGATGAAGACTGTAGAGGCTCAGTGGCCTGGGGCATGCTGAGACATTGCTTCCAAAATAAAGGAAAAGTTTTCGTACCTTGCCCACCTACTGTGAAGAACAAGCATGGTGCTGGAGAGGCCTCACTGGAGGTCAGAGGCTGCATGCACCTCCCTTGGGAATGTCCATTTGCCAGGGGACTTGGACGGCTGTGGGTTCTGAGTGGGGCCAGGGCACAGCGGGTTCCTGAGCAGATTCATGCTACGATACCACCACGGCGTGAATGGCATCTGCCGTAGAAATGGGGCACCGAAGCCCAAAATAGGAGGTGAAGTCCTGAATCGAGAGCATGCTGTCTGCAGTGGGGAGGTAATAGGAGGTGAAGTCCTGAATCGAGAGCATGCTGTCTGCAGGGGGAAGGAACGGGAGGTGAAGTCCTGAATCGAGAGCATGCTGTCTGCAGCGGGGACATGATAGGAGGTGAAGTCCTGAATCTAGAGCATGCTGTCTGCAGGGGGAAGTGACAGGAGGTGACGTCCTGATCGAGAGCATGCTGTCTGCAGGGGGAAAGTAACAGGAGGTGAAGTCCTGAATCGAGAGCATGCTGTCTGCAGTGGGGAGGTAATAGGAGGTGAAGTCCTGAATCGAGAGCATGCTGTCTGCAGGGGGAAGGAACGGGAGGTGAAGTCCTGAATCGAGAGCATGCTGTCTGCAGTGGGGAGGTAATAGGAGGTGAAGTCCTGAATCGAGAGCATGCTGTCTGCAGAGGGAAGTGACAGGAGGTGGAGTCCTGAATCGAGAGCATGCTGTCTGCAGGGGGAAGTGACAGGAGGTGAAGTCCTGATCGAGAGCATGCTGTCTGCAGGGGGAAAGTAACAGGAGGTGAAGTCCTGAATCGAGAGCATGCTGTCTGCAGTGGGGAGGTAATAGGAGGTGAAGTCCTGAATCGAGAGCATGCTGTCTGCAGGGGGAAGTGACAGGAGGTGGAGTCCTGAATCGAGAGCATGCTGTCTGCAGGGGGAAGTGACAGGAGGTGACGTCCTGAACCGAGAGCATGCTGTCTGCAGGGGGAAGTGACAGGAGGTGAAGTCCTGAATCGAGAGCATGCTGTCTGCAGGGGGGAAGTGACAGGAGGTGAAGTCCTGAATCGAGAGCATGCTGTCTGCAGGGGGAAGTGACAGGAGGTGACGTCCTGAACCGAGAGCATGCTGTCTGCAGCGGGGACATGATAGGAGGTGAAGTCCTGAATGGAGAGCATGCTGTCTGCAGGGGGAAGTGACGGGAGGTGAAGTCCTGAATCGAGAGCATGCTGTCTGAGCAGAGAAGTGTTGCTGTTGAGAAGCAGCATTGGGTGTGATATTCAGCTCCTGGCCATGAGACACTAGGTAACTATGTGGCCTGAGCTGCCCAGCACGAGCTGAATCTTACCGGGTCCTAAGTTTGGGGTGGCAGTGGTGGTGCAGCACCAACCATTGTACATGGACATGCATGCCAGGCTGGGTGGGTGGAAACAGGTTAGTCACATGAACAGTGGCCTGGGTCACCCTATCATCACCTGTGTGCACGTGTGCCTTTCTTTTAGCCTCACCCATATGGCCTTGAGAGGGTTCCCTGGGACTAGGTGACTGAGGAGGAAATCCAGAGCCTGGCTCGTGGATCCATGGCTTGGTCTTTGGTGCAAACCAAAACGGACTCTCCCACCTCAAGGTTCCTAGAAGACAGTGGTGAAGGAAAATCCTCTGCACAGGCAGAGCATCAAGAAATAGAAATTGTTCGTTCATTTTGTGTGGAGAGACAAGTGGCCCAAGGAAAGGAAACACACAAACATCAAGACAACGAGTGTTACCAGAGGTAAGGGGTGACATTTCCCAATGATAAAAAAAACCAGTTCATCAAGAAGGTGTGATAATCCCAACAACGGACCTTCAAAAGTCCTGAAGACAAATGCATGGAGTGACAGGGAGAAGGAGACGAGACCACATTCATGCTGGGAGAACGGAACACCCCACTCCCGGTACTTCATAGAAAAAGCAGGCGAAAAACCCCGGTGATTCAAAGAAGACTTGAATTACACTGTCATCCAAGCGGACCTCGGGATATTTTAGAAGCTACACCTGACAGTGGCAGAGGACACATTCACCTCAAGTGTCCGTGGATAGTCACCAGGACTCTGCTAGTTTATAAAACAGAATCTCAATACATTTTCAAAACACTAAAACCCATGTACAGTACAAGCTCTGACTCCAACAGATAAATTAGAAAGAAAAAACAAAAAGGCATTTAGAACATCCACCACATGTCTGCTAGTTACACAATTTAAGTCTAAATGGTCTGTGGTGCAAAGAAGAACTCACGGGGGAAATTATAAAATATTTTGATCTGAGTGATGACAAAACATCGTCTATCAGAATTTGGGAGACGCGGTGAAGAAAGCCCTCAGAGGGACTCTAGCTGTCAGTGCTCATCCTGGGAAAACAAACGTTTGAATCAATTAAGCTTCGACCGACCGTAGGAAGCTGGGAAAAGAGGGGCAAATTAAAACCAAGGGAGGTAAAGTCAAAGGAAGGATAACCCCAACAGTGGAAATCAACAGAAAACACACTTCGAAAACGATGGTGAACGTTGCTTTTTCGGAGAGATTAATAAAATCAGTAACCCCCCTATCAAGACTGATCAATGGGGAAAAAAGAGAAAATGTAAATTACCAATAACAGGAACGAACCAGGGAAATCACTGGAGAGCCCATTCCATAAGCATTAAAGGGTAATCAAGGGACATTATAGATGATTTTATGCCAACACATTCAACAACTTAGATGGAATCAAGCACGCCCTGGGTAACACATTCCCAAAACGGGCACGAAGAGAGAGACAGAAATCTAAAGAACTGTCTATTAAAAAATTAGAATTCATTAAAAAAAAATCCTTCCCATAAAGAAAGCTCCTGTCCCACAGGGCTTCGCTGGATAATTCTACCAGAATATGAGGAA